CAAATCTGTTTACATTTGATCACACAGCGGTCACAAAGAATGCCCAATGAATACCCTGGGGATGGGGTTCTGGGAGGACATCAATGGACACCCTCCCAAAACTAGACAACTGCGCTGTAGCCGTATTTCAACTATAGCATGATATTAAGGTGGTTAAGGTAAGAGCCCATTTTTTTATTTATTTTTTTTGAGTACTTTGAGGGGAACAGTATGACTTTTATAATTTTCAGTTATTAGTGTGTATGAGGACACTGATGTATGCTTTTTACTATGGTGATTGTTTATTGGTTTGAGTATACATTACGGTTTCAACAGGGTTTGGTGAGTGCTGCATTTAATTTTTGTGTTTGGTTGATTTGTGTTAAAATGGCACAAAGTGCTGGCAAAGCTCACAATTATTGAGATCATATATTCTTGCAGGAGGATATTTTATATAATTTTTGCTCTGACAAAAGCTCAGAAAGCCTGAAGTGGTGATGTCACTCATAGGCTTCAAATGGCCCATCCGTTGTCAGTGATCCTCCCTTTTTTCTGCAGCTGTGCTAGCTGATACAGGAGAGCCAAATCAGATGACCGGAGCAGCCTGAAAATAGGGAAATATATACAGTTGTGTTCACAATAATAGCCGTGTGTTGAAAAAAAGCAAATAAAGCTCAAAATCCTTCTAATAACTTTTATTTCCATGCACACAAATGCATTGGGAACACTACACATTCTATTCCAAATCAAAACATGAAGAAAAATATATCAAATTTGTGTTGTTCCTCTAAAAAACATTGAAGAAAAGTGAATATTAGACTGTTCAAAAAAAAAAAAAAAATAGTGTTTGTATTCTTCTTTACAAACTCAAACATTCACTATATAAACTGAATTTTTTTTTAAGATTTTGCTTTCCTTTGAATCACTAAATTAATATTTAGTTGTATAAGCACTGCTTCTGAGAAATACTGTACATCTGTGTTGCATGGAGTCAACCAACTTCTGGCACCTGTGAACAGGTATTCCAGCCCAGGATGATTGGACTACATTCCACAGTTCTTCTCTATTTCTTGGTTTTGCCTCAGAAACTGCATTTTTGATGTCACCCCACAAGTTTTCTATTGGATTAAGATCCGGGGATTGGGCTGGCCACTCCATAACATCAATCTTGTTGGTCTGGAACCAAGATGTTGCATGTTTACTGGTGTGTTTGGGGTCGTTGTCTTGTTGAAACACCCATTTCAAGGGCATTTCCTCTTCAGCATAAGGCAGCATGACCTCTTCAAGTATTCTGATGTATTCAAACTGATCCATGATCCCTGGTATGCGATAAATAGGCCCAACACCGTAGTATGAGAAACATCCCCATATCATGATGCTTGCGCAACCATGCTTCACTGTCTTTACAGTGTATTGTGGCTTGAATTCAGTGTTTGGGGGTCGTCTGACAAACTGTCTCCGGCCACTAGACCCAAAAAGAACAATCTTACTTTCATCAGTCCACAAAATGTTGCGCCATTTCTCTTTTGTCTTTTTTACAACAGTGGGAATTTGCGGGGGCTTCTTGCAGATAGCTTGGCTTCACATAGGCGTCTTCTAATTGTAACAGTACTCACAGGTAACTTTAGACCTTCTTTGATCTTCCTGAAGCTGATTGTTGGCTGAGTCCTTGCCATTTTGGCCATTCTTCTATCCATTCGAATGGTAGTTTTTCACTTTCTTCCATGTCTTTCAGGTTTTGGTTGCCATTTTAAAGCATTGGCGATCATTTTGCTGAGCAGCCTATCATTTTCTGCACTTCATTATATGTTTTCCCCTCTCCAATCAACTTTTTAATCAAGGTTCTTCTGAGCAATGTCTGGAACGACCCATTTTCCTCAGAATTTCAGAGAGAAATGCATTGTAACCAGCATGTACAACATTTGCTGCCTTCCTTCCTTAAATAAGGGCAATAATTGCCACCTGTTTTTCAAAGAATGAATGACCTCACTAATAGAACTCCACACTGCTATTATTTTGAACATGCTCCTTTCAATTAGTGATTCAATTTCACAGAATCAGCAACATGCATGTCATGACTGTTGGGTCTGTTGGATTTCTATTACTCTACTACACCTGCTAGTAAATTATTTGCCATGTAGAAATATGTCTACCAAAAACAGTGATTGATCAGGTTAGTGATGTCTGACTGCTATTATTTTGAACACCGCTGTACATCTTTCTTACACAGGTTAGTTAGCATTGGTGTTAGGAGGGGGTAGGGGGACAGTTTTAAAGCTGGTTATATGCTGGGTTTAAAGCTGGAACTCTACTTTATGTAAGGGTTGTCAAGTTTAGGGTTCACCTATGGAGCAGCAATAGGTGCTTTCAGCCATTGGCAGTTTTCATAATGACTTTCAGAGATTTACCAGTTTGTCAGAATGTCTCCATGTGATCTAGCCAATGCTTCTCTCTGCTTAGAAGGAGCCAACTATGGCTTTATGAAGTATGTGAGCAGAAACACAAGCAGAATCAGACAGTCCCAGAACTACAGTCAGGGCAAATGTTCTCCCACTCTCTAGCCTTTGGTGAATTTAGTCAGTTGTTACTTGTCCGACAGCAAGAAGTGCTTGGAACATTGTCATTCTATTATATAAAAGTGGTTCCCAAAAGTGTATGCCTTCAAATTTACACATGTACAAACTATTCTCAATGTTGGTGAAACAGCCTTGATTTTCAATATCTGGAACCACGAGACCTTTTGTGAATATATTGCAGCACCTATGCCCAGTGGCAACTTTCTGAGCACATTGAAAAATATGCAGCCTCCTAACCCTTTCGGGAACCATTAAAACCAACAATACATTTGCGGCATTTTAGTGTATTTCAAAATGGAGGGGTAATACAGTAGAACATTGCAATAAAAGTTTGAAAATAGATATAATTTTTCATATTAGTTATATTATCAGTACATGACTTTTACTCTTCAAACCCCACTATAGAGAGGTAGCTCCACTGTGCTATAAAAGTATGTAGCACGGGAAACAGAGCTGGCGCCAGCATGTGAGCAGCAGGGAGAGACTGCTCCATCTGAGACATAATACATTTTATTTTTAGGTACCCATTTTAATTATAGGCGCCTTTCAGAACACTCAAGAGAGCAAAAAAGTAAATAAATACATTACATAACCATTAAATTACAAAAACAAATCAAGGATGCGTGCAGCAGAGTTCTGAACCAGTTGCAGTTTATAGAGGGACTTAAAAGGAAGAACAAAAAGAAGGGAATTGCAGTAATCTATGTGGGAAGTGACCAAATTGTGAAAGAGAACGGCAGTGCTGTTGGGTGTGAGGAATAGACAGAGGCGAATAATCTTATGTAGATGGAAATATTCTGACTGGCTTTACTGATGTGAGCTTGGAAAGGTAGTGTACTGTCAAGGATGACACCCAGACTCTCTAAGTGAGGGGAGGGAAAGACTGTGGACTTGCTAATATTAACTGAAAAACTGTTAAGCTTTGTCAAGGTGGATTTTGTACCATTGAGGAGAACCTCGGTTTTGTCATGGTTTAATCTGAGAAAGTTGGAAGAGAGCCAGGATTTGATTTCCTGTAAACATCTGGTAAGGGATTTGGGTGGAAGGGTGGTAGTAAGTTTAATTGACAAGTAAAGTTGGGTGTCATCTGCACATCAATGGAAGTGGATATTAATGTTACGAAATATAAGACCAAGAGGAAGAAGATGGATTATGAACAGAAGGGGCCCCAAGACAGAACCCTGAGGGACACCAGTAGAGAGTGGACATGGATGAGATTTGCTGATCCTGTCTAGATCCTCTGCACTGTGTCCACTGGATCTGCTTTCTTTTTGGCCCAGAGGCAAATGGGGAGCATCAAGCCCCTGAGAGAACGGCTGACGCAGTTAGCATGGGGATCCTAAGATGGCAGTGGCAGCCATGCAGACTGGGGAGAGGAAGGCTTGCCGCAGAGCTCTGAGGCCAGTGAGGGAGGCACTTCTGTGGCTAAGGTGAGCACACTGCCCAGGAGAGAATCCTTGGATTGCCTAAGTTTACTGTCTGAGCAGGAGGGGTGGCGAGTGGACAGAGACCTGGAGCCCTCACTTAAACAGATTATGGCTGCCATACACTCCGATCTTCATTGACTGATCACTTAGATGTTAAGGAATCACACAGCTGCAGCTGAGCATAGCATTAGTGACCTAGGGGATAGTGTTCGCCCACTGGAGACCGGGGCCCAGGTCATAAGGAATGCACAAGCCGAACACTCTGCTAAGATGGCAGATATGGAGGATTGGCTGAGAAGTAATAACATCAGGCTGCTGGGCTTTCCAGAAGAGGCGGAGGGGAGGCACCCAGAGGACTGTTTGGAGCTCTGGCTCAGAAATAATATGGAGGCAGGTACCTTCTCTCGGCTGTTTGCGATTGAGCAGCCTCACCGTATACCACCCCCCCCCCCCATTCTGCAGGGACAATTCCTTGGCTCATGATTGCATGAGTGCAGCACTTCCGTGACAGGGAGAATATTCTGTGAGCTGCTAGGGCCAAGCCTGATTTGATGTAGAATGGCAATCATATTTCATCATCTGGACTTTTCCATTGTTGCAACACAGAACAGCTAAATTCCTGTATGTGAAGAAAAGCATGCAGCCCATTAACTCACAAGGAAGTACTGAAAACCCTAGACCAGCCTCTCTCAACTAGGGTTCCTCCAGAAGTTGCTTGGGATTCCTTGAGCAATTTCTGCCTCTAGATATGTAACCACTGGCACCAATGACTTTTTTTTTTTGTTTTTGTTTTTGTTTTTAACCATCTGTAAACGGGTTTTAGTTCCCACTGATCACCAATGTAAGGAATGTAAAGGAGCATTCTTCCCACTTGGACCTTTTCAACCTAAAAAGGTTTAAATAGATACTTTGCAGAAAGTGGCAGATAACACATTTGAAACACATTTGAAACCTCTACAAACAATGTCTTGATAGTGAACATTTTTTTTTCCCCCACCAGCTTACAGGGACCACTCACCTCTTGGCGGGCATACTCTTCTGAACCTGCAGCCTTCCCATAGTCACAGAATTTGGATGTACAGTGCAGTATATTAGGCGTTTTGGCAAAATGTTTCAAAAGATCCAACTTGTGTTTATCTTCATAACCATCTGGCACCATAAAATAAAGAAAGAAATAATTATATTATATTAGAAAGGAATTTATTGCTTTAAAAAAGGGATCTGTTGAGAAGCAAAATACATTTGCAGAAAGCCTTAGAATCAAAAGAGACATATAGGATTTAGAAAAAAAAAAATGTATTCTAAATGTTATAGCTGACAATCCAATATAAGCTTACTTGAAAAATCTCTTCATGATGTTAATTCTGTCGGCTGGTCTTAACTTTACAACTTCCTGGATCCCCTGCATGTTTGCAGCTTCTCCTCTGTTTACTTTCAATTTCTAAGGGCTACATATCCCATGGTACCTTGCTGCCTGCAAGGAGTGATTCTTGTACAGACACCTCCTCCTGAAACTCCTCCTCTCATCACCTCTGTAGTTCAGAAGGCAGGCACTGTGAAATGTGTGACACAGCAGTACCAACTCACAGGGCATAGTGACTACATGTCACAGAGTTCAAGGAAGTAAATGTGTGGGGAACTTCACAAAGTAAGTTTACAGACTTCAAGAGCATTCTGAGGAGTAGGCTAGAAATAATAAATATACAATAAAACAAACTTTGTCTGTACTTTTCCTGTGGATCACGGGGGCTGGCGTCACTCAGCCTGTCCAGACTGGGAAAAAATCCCAACGTTAATGCCGGGATCCACCCAGATCCCTGGAACAGCAGCTGGCTTAGCCCCTAAGCAATGCACAGAGAGCCTGAGCCAGCCACTTCTGACCCCTCTACAGCCCAGCACTCCAGTGAGTTAGGAAGGTAAATAGAATTACAAAAAAAAATAAAAAAATAAAACTTCTCTTTTAAAACACAATGTGGAAATGCTGTGTTCTCTCTCTCACATATCTACACACACACACTTTTTTTTCTTCAGGTATTTACCAAAAGATATTCAAGCTATAGTTATATAATGGATATGAGCTGAACTCTGCACACTCTCAGGTTTAATTTGAGATTATGTACATCCAAATTAGAGGAAGGGTTTAGGAATTACAGCTCTTAAGAGTAGCCATCCCCCCTTTTTCAAGGGGCCAAAAGTAATTGGACAATTGAATCAAAAGCGGTTTCATGGCCAGGTGTGGGCTACTCCTTCGTTATTTCATCAATTAAGCAGGTAAAAGGTCTGGAGTTGATTCTAAGTGTGGTAATTGCATTTAGAATATATTGCTGTGAACCTACATCATGCATTCAAACGAACTGTCCATGCAAGTGAAATGCTTCAAAGACTAAACAAATCCATCAGAGAGATAGCAGCAACATTAGGAGTGGCCAAATCAACAGTTTGGTACATTTTGAGGAAAGAAGAATGCACTGGTGAGCTGAGCAACATAAAAAAGGCATGGATGTCCACGGAAGACAACAGTAGTGGATGATCGCAGGATCCTCTCTATGGTAAAGAAAAAACCCATTCACAACATCCAGACACGTGAAGGACACTCTCCAGGAGGTGGGTGTATCATTGTCAAAGTCTACAATCAAGAGAAGACTTCATGAGAGCAAAAACAGAGGGTCCACCACAAGGTGCAAACCATTCATAAGTCTGAAAAATAGAAAAGCCAGATTAGACTTTGCCACAAAACATCTAAAAAAGCCAGACCAGTTCTGGAAAAGCATTCTTTGGATGGATGAAACGAAGATTAACCTGTTCCAGTAATCTGGTGGCATACAGAGCCAAAAATATAAAAATTGTGCCTGTGTCCAAATATATATATGGACCTAACTGGGCTTTTTTCTGTGAGCCTGCATATTTACATACCTGTCCTTCTGCTGGGAGCACGCCGCACGGCGCGCTCCCTGAACAAAGACTGCGGTGTCCATGAGAGCACCGGGTCCCGTTCTAACGCTTGGGACCTGGGAATCCCAATTCCGGGTCACATGATTGCTGTGATAGCCTCTGCTCAGTCACTGTACAGCCCGGCCCCCTTGTTTTATTTTGCGCTATGAATGGAGGAGAGAGATACACTGTATCTCTCTAACTCCTGGCCTAGAGAGGAAAAAAAAATTTTGAAAAAGAAAAGATAAATGTTAAAAGTGCCAGGGTAAATGTTTGGGTCAAGGTCAGTATTAAAAAACAAATTGGTATCAATATGTTTTAGGTAAAAAAAAAAAAAGACAAAAACAAAGTGTGCACTATTGATTCTGGGCTGTACTACGGGTACAAACAACAAATAACATACACATATATGGTATCGCTGTGATCGTCAAGAGCTGGAGAATTTATTTTGGGTTGTTCTTTGGTGGTAGGTTATGGTAGTAACAAAAAACGGCTAAATAAAAAAATTTTTTTTTTTACTATTTTGGGACAGTTTTCCTTTTATAATAATAATAATAAAAAAATTAAAAAAATCAGGAAATATCCATTACCATTTACCACTAAATGAAAGCCCAATTTGTCCTGAGAAAAACAAGGTATAAATTCACCTGGATGTACAAAGTAGTTGTGATGATATGTACGGTTTTACTAACACATGTCAACGTTGCAAAATTGTGCTTAGGCATTTAATTTGTTTTACCCTTAGTCGTAAAGGGGTTTAAGAATTGAGCTCTGTCATTTCAAAGCCATTGTTTCCAATTTTTATGGACTCTTTAATGACTGGCATAGTACCACTGGATTGGCGTAAGGCCAATGTGCCAATATTTAAAAAAGGGGTCAAAATCTTCAAGTAATTATAGACCTGTTAGTTTAACTTCAATAGCTGGGAAGATACTGGAGAGTTTAATAAAAGACCACATAGATGAGTTCTTGCTGCAAAAATATATTTTAAGCAACAGACAGCATGGATTCATGAACGAGAGTTGTCAAACAAATCTGATTTTTTTTTATGCGGAGGTGAGCAAAACCTTGGAGGGGTGGCAGTGGACGTGGTATACTTGGAGTTTGCAAATGTTTTTGACACAGTTCCTCACACATGGCTAATGTGTAAGGTAAAGTCTACGGGCTTGGAAAAATCTGTATGTAAATGGATCGAAAACTGGCTAAAAGACCGAATTCAGAGACTAGTGGTTAATGATTCATACTCTGAATGGTCTGGGGTTGTCAGTGGTGTACCCCAAGGTTCAGTGTTGGGACCCTTACTTTTTAATTTATAAATGATATAGGATCTGGGATTAAAAATCCCATTTCAGTATTTGCATATGACACCAAGCTGTGCAGTGGAATAACATCTTTACAGGATGTCTTCAATTTACAAGCCAACCTCAATGCACTGTTTAATTGGGCAACTATGTGGCAAATGAGGTTTAATGTTGATAAATGTAAGGTTATGCACTTGGGGGCTAAGAATATGCATGCATCCTACATACTAGGGGGGAGTACAACTGGGAGAATCAATGGTGGAGAAGGATCTGGGAGTTCTGGTAGATCACAAGCTTAATAATGGCATGCAATGCCAAGCTGCAGTTTCTAAAGTGAGCAAAATCCTCTCTTGTATTAAAAGAGGTATAGACTCCAGAGAGAGAGATATCATATTACCCTTGTACAAATCATTAGTAATACCTCATCTGGAATATGCAGTTCAGTTTTGGGCACCAATTCACAAAAAGAACATTGGGGAACTGGAGAAAGTACAGAGAAGGGCAACTAAACTGATACGAGGCATGGAGGAGCTCAGCTATGAGGAAAGATTAGAGGAACTGAATTTATTCAGTTCCTCTAATTCAGGAGGTTAAGGGGGATTAAGGGGGGATATGATCAACATGTATAAATACATCAGTGGTTCATATAGTGAACTCGGTGTAGAGTTATTCACCCTGAAGTCACCACAGAGGACATGGAGGCACTCTTTACGTCTGGAGGAAAAGAAATTTAATCTCCAAACATGGAAAGGTTTCTCCACAGTGAGAGCTGTGAAAATGTGGAATAGACTCCCTCAAGAGTTGGTTCTGGCCAGCTCAGTGGATTGCTTTAAAAAAAGGCCTGGATTCTTTCTTAGATACACAGAATATAACTGGATACTAAACATTTATAGGTAAAGTTGATCCAGGGAATATCTGATTGCCTCTCGGGATTAGGAGGATTTTTTTCCCTGCTGGAGCAAATTGGATCGTGCTTTGCTGGGTTTTTTTGCCTTCCTCTGGATTAACTGTGGGTATAGGATTATAACTTTTTTTTTTCAAATGGTTGCACTTTTGTCTTTTTTCAGCCAGACTAACTATGTAACTATAGACAGACACACACACACTATATTGTCAAACGTATTGGGACATTCCTCCAAATCATTGGATTCAGGTGTTCCAATCATGCAGACTGCTTCTACAAACATTTGTGAAAGAATGGGTCGCTCTCAGGAGCTCAGTGAATTCAAGCGTGGTACCGTAATAGGTTGCTACCTGTGCAATAAGTCCACCCGTGAAATTTCCTTGTTACTAAATATTCCACAGTCAACTGTTAGTGGTATTATAACAAAGTGGAAGCAACTGGGAACAGCAGTAAATCAGCCACAAAGTGGTAGGCCACGTAAAATGACAGAGCGGGGTCAGCGCATGCTGAAGCGCACAGTGTGCAGAAGTTGCCAACTGTCTGCAGAGTCAATAGCTAAAGACCTCCAAACTTCATGTGGCCTTCAGATTAGCACAGCAGTGCGTAGAGAGATTCATGAAATGGGTTTCCATTGCTGAGCAGCTGCATCCAAGCCTTACATCACCAAGTGCAATGCAAGGCGTCGGATGCAGTGGTGTAAAGCACGCCGTCACTGGACACCAGAGGAGATGTGTTCTCTGGAGTGACGAATCCCACGTCTCTGTCTGGCAATCCAATATATGTGTCTGGGTTTGGCAGTTGCCAGGAGAACACTACTTGCCTGACTGCATTGTGCCAAGTGTAAAGTTTGATGGAGGGGGGATTATGGTGTGGGGTTGTTTTTCAGGGGTTGGGCTTGGCCCCTTAGTTCCAGTGAAGGGAACTCTTAAGGCGTCAACATACCAAGACATTTTGAACAATTTCATGCTCCCAACTTTGTGGGAAGAGTTTGGGGATGGCCCCTTCCTGTGCCA